CCAGCTTGAAGCTCTATGTTCCACTGGGGAACGTGAAGGGGAAAAAAACATGGTTTTGTAGGTTACATAAAGATACACCATGTGATTTGATTTGGATGTGTATCATTTACAGTCTTCATATTGGTTTTCTCATGGACATCAGTCAGGGGGGGGGGATAAATCTCTCTATGCAATGGAAATTGAATACTTGCAGAGTCACTTATATTCTATTTTTGGATTGATTTTTGCCCAACTAGAAGTAGCACAACTGTTACTTTGACATAGTGGTCAGGTTTGCGCATTACAATCATCCAATGGGCTACACTGGTTGGAAATAATCTTCTTGCAAGTCTTACCAGGCTAGGAAGATTAACTGGGCAGCGATTAGACTAAAAATGTGTATGCTGATTATACTATGTTAGAGGTCTGTCTGTCTGTTTTCGACACAGAACTTTGCACCGATGTGCACCAGTTCAAGTCGCCACACTCCGTCTGTAGCACACAAAGCAACACAAGAAAGTAGAAGAAATGCACAATAGGGATAGCAAACAGAGGTGTGAGACAAAGGAATAGTAATAACGAAGAACAATATAGTTTCACTGAAAATCATAAGTCATAAGGAGTGGATGAATTTGCGCCAGCCATTGACAACGATTTTGAGCCATATCACCAATTGTTTCCAACCATTGGTTTTTACAGTCCCGATGACCCCAACCAGGAAGTCTACACCTTCCTACGTGGCTTAGACTAACTGTTGTGGATTTCATTGACTGGTGCCATGTTTTGGTTTGACCGCCGCTAGCTCTTTTCCAGCCTGACCCCATGTCAGCTAACATTGCCCGTCGAGGAAGGCGATGACTAGGCATACGTAACACATGTCCTAACCATCTCAGTCGATGTAGCTTCATAGCCTCGTCGATTGATTTCCCCTCCTTACATAGCACTCGACGCCTGACCTCAATATTGCTCACCTTGTTATACCACCTCACACGGGAGATAGAACGCAGGCACCTATGATCGAAGACAGCTAATCTTTTCATGTCTTCCACTCTCAATGGCCAGGTCTCACAGCCATAAAGGAGGACCGAGGGGACTGATGAACAGTACACACGCCCTTTGGTCGATAGCCGGATATCACGTCTACGCCGGAGACGGCGTAAACTGGCATATGCAAAACTAGCCCTATGTATCCGTGCCGAGATTTCGTCAGAGATCAGCCCGTTGGCACTGGTTGATGGTACTTCCCAAATAAGTGAAGCGGTCAACGTGCTCTACCACTTCACTCCCTATTTCTAGTCTAGGAGTCGGTGTATTCCAGTCCTGTAACATCATCTTGCATTTGGCGGGAGCGAATCGCATGCCAAACATTCGTAGATTGCAGCTCAAAGTGTTCAGAAGACTCTGCATTTTGTCAGCGTCCTCGCTTAGAAGGACTACATAATCTGTATATTCTAAGTCAACGAGATTATTCTCTGGTAGCAAGTCAATTCCTGAGTCTCTGAAGTGAGTTAGGGTTAAGTCCATTAGTATATCTATGATGAAGTTGAAAAGAATTGGGGATAATGGGCATCCTTCCTGACGGACACCACTAGTCGTCACCACTTCAGATGACAACTCGCCGTAAGCCCTCACCTGGCTGCATGAGTTCAAGTAGAGTGCCTTGATCAGTGCAATGTATTTTCTCGGAATTCTATTTACAGCCAAGCATCGCCAGAGTACCTCTCGGTCGACAGAATCGAATTCCGCCTTAGTAAGTCAAAAAATATAATGATTGTTGGACGCCGGTAAGAATGCCTATGTTCTACAATCTGTCGAAGGGTGAAGATATGGTCAATACACCCTCTTCCTGGTCTAAAGCCTGCCTGGCTCTCTCGTGTTTGTGCCTCCCGAGCACCACTTAGTCTACGCATGATTATTGAGCTTAGGACTTTAGATACTATATTAGTCAAGTTAATCCCTCTGTGTTTATCACAGGATGACTTGTCTTCCTTCTTGTATATAGGGATAATCCGTGACTTACACCAACCCGACAGAACTTCCTCTGATTCCCAGATGCTGCCTAGTACCTCAATTAATGCAGACAGTAAACTGTCTCCACCGTACTTAAATACCTCTGGAGTCATTCCATCATCCTGCTGCTTTGCCTTGTTTCAGACTATTGACAGCTTTAGTAACCTCAGTTAGGGGCGCAGGACCTGTGTCAATGTCCCATTCAGGGAGGTGTTGGATGTTCGGCAGATTGAGCGTGGCTGTGGGCCAATTAAACTGCTCCTCATAGTGTTCTTTCCAGCGTTCCAGTCGTCTATCCTGGGAGCTAATTATAGTGCTATTGTTCTCAGAGATTGTTTCACTTATCATTTGCCTTTTACCACTTGTTTCCCTGACAAGCCTAAATAGTTGTCTGGTGTTACCAATCGCCGATGCCTTTTCCATCTCTTTCTCTCTTGTCACCCACCACTATTCAAAGTTGTTGTGAAGATTTCTTCTTAGTTTTCGTTTGAGTAGCTTTCGCTCCTCATCATAATCGGAGCTCGTCGGAATCAGTCTTCTTGCGTCAATCAGTTCGGATGAGGCGGTAGAGATTCAATGGCTTTTACTAACTTTTGGTTTAAGCTTAATAACAGCTTTTACAACTGTGTCCACAGCTAACTGTACGTTGTGCCAGGCTACCTCAGGGGAAGTCGTGCTGTCGACCTCAGACACCCGTTTCGCTATTTCTTCCTTAAATAGGGACTCAGTGTCTCGATCTACTTGGGGACGTAACTGTTTCGCTGCCGTCAATTTCTTATGTTCATTTAGTCGTAAGCATAAACGTGCGCGAACCAGAGCGTGATCAGAGTCTACGCACGTGTTCCAGAGGGAGCGGCAGTCTTCTACTGACCCTCGCCAACGATACCCTATGGCTGTGGTCTATCTGAGTCCAGCGTTGGTGTGGTGGTGGAGGTCGCCAGGTTACACAATATCTCTCTTTATGCCTAAAGTTAGTGCTGACTTGGAACAGATGATTATCAAAGCAAAACTGTAGAAGACGATCACCGTTGCCGATTTATCGGCATGGAACTCCAATGCGTACCACCTACATACTTCTCAGTCTGGCACAACTTCCCTACTTGGACATTGAAGTCGCCCGCTAAAAAATATTGCAAGTAATGTTTATTATTTATAGCTTTCTTTGACAAACTGATGTGCCTGGCGATGAATGCAATAACATTTTAATGAACAGAAAGTTACCATGCTTGCTAGTTTCACAACATATTCTGGGTGTATGCACATTAGAAGACGTAACTAGCTTTTTCTAAAAACCAATTGGGAGTAAAGGTGTTGCGGCTGCTTGAAATCTTGTTAGATTACTTCTCAGTAAACATTATTCTCCCTTTTCACTTGAGGGTAACTCAGTGGCACAGCGGTTAAGACGCTTGCCGACTATGCACATGGTCCGGGGTTCGATCCCTTGCCGCCAACGCACTTCTTGACCTCACCAAGCCAGAAATAATGCTGGTAAAGAGGAAAGGTTGGGTATGAGGCTAGCAACCCCATCCTGTAAAATTAAACACTGCTACAGAAACTCTAAGTCACTAATTTGAAGCCCTATGTTCCACTGATAACGTGAAGGGAAAAAAATACCTGAATAGGTTGAATGATAACACGATGGTAAATAACATTACTTTTTGTTATAAAAAATACCAGTTAGCATTGTAACACCAATTATTCGGAACAACAAACACACATTGAAACACTGTAAAAGACTAAATAATGAATGTTCTCAGCAGAAAGAGTTTTAACATTAACATGCAAGAGGAGAGAAAAGGGGAGTAAACCTGAGAGAAGAAACAAAATGTGCAATACTATAGACCATTAGTCCTGTAAGAGAGTAAACACGTTTATTTTTTATTGGATACTAGTTGGTAACTAGTGTTGTGTGTCTAGTCGCTTGTTTCGTGCAGACAATTCTATCAGACAAGTTTGTAATGTGGCCACTAGTTACCAACTAATGTCGAATTAAAAGTATTCAATACAGTCCTGCAGGAGATGAATCACGAGCCCTTACAGCTCAGTGGTAACGTCTGTGACTGTAGTACTCACTGGGTGACGTGGGTTCAAATCTCAGATGAAGGGACATGAATTCCTTCAAAATTGCAGATAAGCCTTCTTGACGACTACTAATTAGCACGAAACCTAGGTGCAAGGCTTCCTTCCGATTGCATCCAAAAGCATACGAAGCCTTCCTGAGTCCGATTGCCTCCAACCATCTAGTATCACGTCTACTTTTCTATCACTCGGAAAGTACCATCATGGATCCCTTCACTATAACGGCTAACATATGGAGCTAGGATTACGAACAAAGTGAAGGATATGCAGTATATTTACAAGGTTCACCTAAAGTGAAAAAATGTATTACACAAAGCAGCAACGGTAGCCAACTCTCTCATATTCTATGGGTGAACAGTACGGCTAGAAGCACTGTATGCCACTGGCGTACGCTCATGTAGGAATTGAAGTTAAACTCCACCACTAACTGATTCATGAACAATTAAGTTGAATGGACGAGAATTGAGGTCAGTAGAGGACTTCACAGAACCTGAAAAACGTCTCTGTATAGAAACTTATTTAAAGCTCCAATTAGCGGACAACACAAAATATCAAAGAGAAAAAAACGACAATAAAAGCAAGTCCCTTAGAACAATACCGAAAAGACTTGGTAATATTCTCAGCGTATGCATTAGTATGTTTCAGTCTGATGTTGCAACATAATCCTCGGTTTCATGGTTTAATTCACTAAAATTAATTACATGAACAGTGACGAATTAATTGGCAGGCAGTGAACGGAGCATTTTTACAACAATGCGTTACAATAATTAGACAAATAATTCCTGGTAGTGTGTAGAATCTATGGTGGACAAAAAGAATCTTAAATCAATGGGGATCATGTAAAGAATATTCCTTTTGAAAACTATTATTATTACTGACCAAAAAACCAAATTATTTCTATAGTGCCTAAAAACGTGGATTCTAAAATTTACCCATTTTTCTGCAGCTCTGTGGCCTGAACCGGACTGCCTTAAAACGTTGTAATATTCAGTCTTCTTTTCTTCTAACAATCTCAAATCATCTCTCATATGCTTAACCTGAAGCATTAAAATAATGATTAAATACCTGAAGTTCTTTTGCAACAATGTCAGATAGTTGCTGTTTCTTCGCATCGTACATTTTTCTAACTTTTGCAGCATTTTCTTTGGCTTGTGTTCGAACCTATTGATATAGACTGTAATCTCTATAAATTACTTGTAAGATCCTCAGCTTCTTCCGCCTCTCTATTTCCTCATGTTTTATATGTTGCAACTCTGACAGAGAAGGGCCATAAGAATAGCAAGGATAATCAAGCATGAAGAAACGCCCGTAGCCAACACAAACTTCAAAGAAGTACCGCCGATACAAAGGTCATGTAACTAGATTTCAGCACCAAGAAACAAGCTTTCGAAAATTTTTTTACAAGATGATATCAATCGTAATAAGAGTCTCCCCTGTATACTTCACTGCAAGAGCCTACTGAAAAACCAGAACTTCAATAACTGCAGTTAAATTACACCGATATATATATATATATATATATGGAGGGCACGAGGATTGAAAACTATATCCAGGCAGCCAGCCCTTGTCTTAAAAGAAAATCACATATTCTAGAAACGATTCAGACGAAGGTAACACATATGACTGGCATGACTAGTTTATCATACCGTACCGTAAGCAGATAGGGGGTCTGATTACAGTGTTTAGAATTTTAAATAATGGCTACGGGCCTGGTCTCTCCTCTATTTTCCCTCCATTCAGGTCAAACCACCTCTGAGAGAATAGCAGGAGAGCTCAGAAGTCAAAGAAAAATCATATTACCGTAAATATTGGTTCTTCTGGAACCGACTCCAAGAAGGAGGGATATCAGAGCCTTCATCTAGTTCATTAATGAAGTGTTCGGATGGCAAAGAAATTTACTAAAAAGGGTTAACATAGGCTTCAAGCCTTCTATCCTCAGTCAACAAATCCGAATCTTTAGGCTTTTAAATTTATGTATTTGTGGAATGCAGCTACCGCAGTTATTTAAAGCTTGTGGACAGTAGTCAACAAGTTGCTCCGATGGACATACAATGCACTTAATATCTAATACGGAGCGAAACACGGCATCAAGTAGTGCTCATATCTCACAAGCCGACATCAGTTTTGGGAATGAGATAGATCGACTGTGGTAATCCAACAATACCAAATTTAATATATTATACACTCAGCGTCGACTATAACGAATGATCTCGAACTACCTTTGCACACGGGGCTTTAGTACAAGACACATTGAGGATTTTAACTTGACTATTGACAGAGGGGCGTCTCAGCTACTCGCGAAGTACTAAGACTAAGCAGAAGTGATGGCTGATAAAGGTAGTAGTCGGAATATATAATCCAGGATGACATACGGATTGAACATGCTATTCCGAATGAAAGCTCAGCAAAAGACTGCCACAATAGTAACACACAGATGCCCCCATCGGTGGACTAGAAGCCACTGTATAGGCCATCTCAATTTACAATTGGTGCGCCGAGCGCACAGATTATCAACAGGTTAAAGAAATAAACCCAGATGACTTTAGGCATCAGTGAAGTGACATATCTCTCACTCAGCGAGCCTACACACAATACTTATACTCAACGATGAGGTAACTAGAGTTATCCGGTCCATCAGACAACTCTGTGTCCATCAGTTCAACTGAAATTATGGAGACTGTTACGAAGTTCGTTGGTTAAAAGAAGACTAGCTGTCATGCTCTAGGAGACTTGCCAGCACATTGCCATACATCTAAAGTTTGAAGTTACAGCTTAGCTGGAATGGACATGTATATATTGCTAGGAATTTCGCCCGTCTCTTCGCTGAACTCTCAAAGGGTACGACACTTGGTATCGACGAATCCTGACAAACTCACCAGCGACACATTTGAATTACACTTGAAATAAAAGCGGTAATATTGATGTTATTAAAAAGTGATCTTACCGTGAACTGATGTATCCTAGTGTGACACCCGACCGGCACATCGCGAACTTTTAAAAGGGAGTGAATTTTACACACTCTCGTTTCGTTTTGGCTTCTGTTGTTGTCGTTCTAATTGAAGATTGAACGATCAATGCATAGTTGTTCACCTAAACCTAACTCCTCCATATTTTTCGCGGGAGTCATCTATCCAGCAGTCATCGTCTCATTGTTCGCTGCTCAGCGGAAGATAAAAAACTATCAAAAGTATTATCGTGATTTATCGTTATGACGTTTATTCTTAGACCTTGTGTGTAATAACCTTATTGTTGGTTACATATTGGCGTAAGAATAAAGGATTCTCGATTCGCCAATCAGTGTTCTGGTTTTCGCGTTGGTTTATTCAAAGTGTTTCTGAAAATTTTCGAGGGACAGTGTGACGTCGAGCGTAGTAAGGGCTTGGCATTGACAGTTTATGGCACTTGGCTTACACGAGTGGAATGGCATGGAACCGCAAAATTTTTACCGGGGAGTTAGTGAGCTACTACGGTCATCCAATGTTCAACGAAATCCACACTGTGGGTGTCGCTATCGTGGTTTCACCAACGACATCGAAGGTCTGGATACAATATGGGGCGATCTCACCCAGGTTAATGATCTTCAGATTTAATTAACAATGAATAAATATGACAGCAATGCAAGACTATGTACCCACAAACAGCGCAGACCTCGAAATGAAAGAAGAGTTCTGCGGGCGACTATGCGCACTAATGCGGTCAGTGACGTTAAATCTCTAGTGAGAGGCATGAACGCCAAACTGGAACTAGGCAACGCAGCAAGAGAACTCATCATTGGTAGAGAAGCATTCAGAGGGCTGAAGGGAAATGGAGAAATCTTCCCTGATATCTGTGCCTTCAATAAAGTACTGATCGGTCGCGGCGTATACAAGAACAGGGATACCCACAAGGCTACACGGGTGTCACCAGACGGGTGAACCAGAAACTACATTGACTTTATCTCAATAGTGCTAGACGAATTGGAGACGCAGGCTACTGTACACAAAAGTAAGAAGAGGGACAGACGTTGGCTCAGACAACCATCTCAAGAAAAGAATACTACGAATCGAATTACAAACTTTCAAGGAAACAGGAGCTGCAGACAGACCACAAGCCAAGTTCAATAGTCGAAAACTGAAGAATCAGGATACCAAGGACATCTTCACTGCAATCATAAGGAAAATAGCAGGGGCACGAATCAACACCAGTGAAGGGACCAGAGTTGAAAGGTACTGGAACTACCTGAAAGCGTTATGGAGTCAAACCTGCATAAAAGTTCCAGGAAGAAAAAAGAGAAAAGATAAAAAGCGGTTCACTGCAGACACATAAGGACTAAGAGAATAGAGAAGGAGGTTTTAAAAGAGGTATGCAGCACATCGACGAGCAACAACACAGAAGTTGAGTACAAGTCACAACAGAATCAACAAAAAAAGTAAAGAAGAGTGTGAGAGATGACAAAAGAAAGTTTCGTGAAGCTATGGCAAGTAAAGCAGAACAAGGTGCAGGCAATGGAGATAATAATATATATTTCTTCCTGTTTATGCAGGAACATACCAATTGTACAGGCATGGATAAGTTATTATATAAATTACACAAAATTTGATGTATAATGGATTTACAGTTCGGTTGTTCTTTCTGACATCAAAGTCAGTCGGAACAGTCTGCTATAAAGTCTGTTTGTGCAGCACATAAAGAGATATAGAAATATTGTCTTCGCATTAACAAAAAACCCAGACATCAGATGAATGTAATACAAATATCTGGGAAAAATAAAGCTTGAAGTCAATTCTCCTATATAACTTTGTTGTGAACAGCACCCTTGGCTTAAAGATTATTGATGTATTATGTTGAGATCAGTGATATATTTATTCCATTTTTTCAGTAGTCTTGTCGTAGTTTTATAACAGGAAAGAAATTTGATCGTGGATACGAAAACTAGATAAGGTCATGTTGGGTTGTTTTACTGCATCAAGTGGTGCCGAGGTCGATTCCAGAATTCTCCATTTGCTCCATTTGTGTCTGCATGGCGGACTGTATTCGTAAGTTGAGTAAAATGTTGAAAACTGTTTGAAAACCAGTTGCTTCTTCATTTCAGATCATGAATACTCATTTACAGCATGTTCGCCAGCGTCTTCAAATGGTAGAATTGGATCGTTCATGGAATTTGAGTGGTTATGAGATAGACGGTTTGGAATTAATCCTCATTTCAGTTTAGATGCAGGGTTGTTCGACCTCGACCAGAAGATGAATAGGAGCAGCAAAATACCAGAAAGAGAAAGTATGTGAACATGAAAAGGACATTTATATATTATGCATTTATAAATGTTTATCTTAATTGTAAATTATACTTAAGTTAACATTTTTCTATATTGTATTTGTTTTCACGTATTTATGCGAAGTCTTAGAGTTTATTTACTGTCATAATGTGTATTAATGAGTCTGAGCGTTTTAGTGTTCTAATGACTGATGCGTTTTAGAAATGAGTGATGGGTTCTGGTAGGGACAATCGGTGAGTTTCCTATCCACTGTGCCACCGTCGCAATTTCGTCAAATACGCTGGTGGTATGACCGTCTCTTTTCCTGTCATGTTACAATGTGTCTGCAGCAAACTTAACTGCTTCCTGTTTGTAGTCTAAGGCACATGGTCTTGCGTTAAATCCCTCTAAATGTCATACAGTTAACCTTTTCTTCACTCATTAGCATGAACAACAAGAACTGTGTCGTTCACAAGATGCTTGTATGAAAGAGGGCACTGACTCTGTATCGCGGTACGTTCAACGTTTGCGTTACATTTTTACGTGATTCGTTACATAAAATTTATCTTGTTGTAGTACTTGCACAAGTACTATACCACTTCCATACTTGTAACCACTAACTCTCATTTCTAATAGTTATGGTTAATCAAAGTAAAAAGCAACGAACCCAATCCCCTGTAAAACTGGTGTCTAATTTAACGTCCTTGATTGCTACATCAAGCAACACACCCCTACAAACGGCTATAGTGAGTCACATAACTCACTTGTATGCCGTAAGCGTCGAGCTGAAACTGAGGATAAAACTGTACTGACAGCTAGTATTAGCACTACTCCTAAAAATTCAGTACCCTCTGCTCATACAGAACTCCTCCCTTCACCTTATGTGCTTATGGAGAAACTCCAGCCATCAAGCTCTTTTTCAGTACTATCTTCAGAAATAGAACTTCTAAAGTTGTCTATAGGAGAACTTAAGGCTGAGTTAAGGGAAATAAAAAACAGTAAGTCAGTAAATGCTGGAAACATCGAAACCAATACCGAGATATCCAAATTATCAGATCAGATCAGCGATATCAGATCGCAGGTCTGTGAACTGACACCTCTAACTATCCTCATGAAAACGGTAAACCTTAACAAGCTTGACACAGAATCGGTAACTAAGGTAGATAACCTCATTAACTTTGTTACCACAGAAGTAACAAAACGACTCGACGCAAAACTGAGTGCTATTGTCTACAACGTTCCGGACAATGAGGCACTAAAAAAGGTACAGCGCATCTTACTTAGTGAAGCGAAAATGCCTAACTCCAAGACTAAGTGCTACAGGCTGAAGAAGAGTCAACAT